TGAGGGTTGCCGTCCAGCTTAAATTGCTAGATTTGGCCCCTCGAGCGACGCGCCAGAGCGACGTCCTCACCAGACCGCTGGGTAACAACGGGTGTCCACGTAGGTCCTGCTAGTCAGACCGACGTGGCGAACACGCCCGGGCACATCCGGGCCTCCACATATCCCCATAGATATGAGGGGTGTCGGTCAGCCATGACGTATAGGGCCGGTTTGAGGAGCCCAGTTGGGTCACAGATTTTTGAATGGTCACTGACCGATCCGTCCGGAAATATAGGGGGCGTATGAGGAGACCGGATGTGGATGCTCTAATTGGCTAGAGGTTGCAACCCATACGACGAGTAAATCGGAACGGAGTGAGTAGTTGACCCAGAGATATTTTCTGTGCTGGTCCAAGTTTGGTGTGGCATTGCTGTACAGTTGGCAAATGCTTTCCTCTTGTAGCAAATGAGATTGTGATTTATACTTGTTGGTCAGAGGGACTAACGCTTGCGTGTGGTCGTCCGGTGGCGTTGTTGTACAGCCAAGGCTTTCCTCTTGTAGCAATCCAGTGTGCACGCTTAACACCTGTAGCACTGTACTTATTCAATGAGTAAGAAATAAAATACCTAGTTGAGCAATTTATACTTGTTGAAGAAACCCGTAGGTGCTAATTTAGTTTATCTGGTCTTAATTTCTAATTAAGCGTGCAATGACTAATGATTAAATAGGGTGGTTACATACATGCTCTCCCACTGCTTCACTTTGGTCAGAGGGACTAACGCTTGTCTGTGGTGGCGTTGTAACTCGTGTGGCAATGACGATGGTGGCAAGAAGAATAGGGTCACCCTTCTTCTTTAAATATATGATATGCACATTCGTGCATATTCGAGAAAAAAAAAAGCAGAGTCGCGGCATGTTGTTCTGTTCGACACGTCCTAACCGTGAAGTCGGAGCTTGTAGCGTTGCAGGGCGACATGGTCGCAATGATGCCATCTGATGGGCAAGTCAAGCTATGCTGGTGCATCACATAGGCCGATAGGGTTCTCGTGTGTTGTTCATTTGAATGGGTCTCGAGTTGCTTGCTTGGGTAGAGGTGACATTGTAAGCAACCTTGACAGTGTCTTCTCCTTGACAGTGTGTGTATGCCTTGTGTGTAGCCAGGTCGGTCGAGATGCTCTATTGTGTTGGCATCTTTTAACGGTTTTTGCTCATGTTTCTGAAAATTAACCTGGCAACTCTCTTGTATCTTTTTCTAGTGAATCAGAGCGCTAAGGAACATGACGTAAAAACAAATATTGCTTTCAAAGGAGATGTGCATATCCGGTTATTCCTGTACTAGAACCCTATTGTTGCATCTAAAAGAAGAGCCCTCTTATTGACTAGGAACATGCTGCGAGGAGAAACAGCACGACTGACTAATAAAGTATCTTGGCCATGCTGCATGGCCCCATACTATAACGAAACGATTTGTGCTTGATCACCTTAAGCCCTCTGCCACAGCGATGAATCTCCACGCCGGTAAACATCACTAACTTGTCGACAATGGCAGTAGTGTCATGGAAACAGCACATCTGACAGCACGTCTCTTGCGGCCTTGTTGTCATGATCAACTTGGCGACACAGAAACGACCAGCACCTAGGTGCAGGAGGTGCGATCCTAGCTCGGTACCCTCAGGGGCAGCGAATCCCTCCCACTCTTGGAATACCGGCGGCGGCGTCTGCTTTGCCGAGGCAGCACCCAGGTCTGATGCGCAGAGGACGCCACCCCCCTTTGCCGAGACACCGAACCAGAGATCGTACTCCGGAACATATTCTGCAAGGCCTTTAAACGGCAGCGGCCAGGCACCAGTCTTGCCCCACTTGCCGCTCACCGTGTCCAAGCAGTAGGTGCCGAGGCTCTCTATGGATATCAAGATGCTTGAGCTATTGACCACAGTGCACGCGGTGATCACACCAGAACGGTCGTCACCATAGCCAGGGGCATAGACATAAGGCGGCGGGGGGATGGAGTGCCAGAAAAAGTCCACCCCCTTGAACATTTTAGGCCTTTCGCCATACATCAGCGCCTCGAAAGATTGATGTAACTTCTCTTGATCGTTCTTAGGGATCGCCTCCATGACCAACAGGTTGTCACCAACGGCGAGGGGCACTGATTGCCACTTGGCCTTTTTGAGGCTTGGCAACATGCGGACAGCTTGCAGGCCGTCATCATATAAGACGGCTCGACCTCTCTCGTCTGCACAGACGATCTTGTTCCTGCTGCTGCCGAAGAGCATGAACTCCATTATCTCCCGTCTATGCTCGGACCGAGGAGAGTGGAAAGACATTGTTGGTGGCGGCACAGAACGGTCCTCCACCGCCGCAAGCGCGGAGTCAGGTGCACCATTGGGGTAAAACAATTGTGACGCCTTGATGCGGTGCAGAGTGTATGAACTCCTTTTGACGTTCATGGCCGTCATGTACAGGAATTTTCGGTTCATTGTTCAAAGACAGACTTCTCTATGGATCAATTTTCCCAGTCCCTTCTTCTAATAATCGCCTAAGAGACCACACGATTAGCTGAAATACAAATTACACGTGTTAAGAGAAAGAACTGTAAATTCAAATCAAAGTACTCCCTCCGTTCCTAAATATAAGTCTTTTTAGGGATTCCAATAAGAGACTACATACGAAGCAAAATGAGTGAATCTACATTCTAAACTACGTCTACATACATCTGTATGTAGTCCATAGTGAAATCTCTAGAAAGACTTATATTTAGAAACGGAGGAAAGTAGTAAATAATATAGTAGAGCAGCCCTGCGAATAAACAGAAAAATAAGCAGGTCAAAAAAATAAACGAAAAATAAGGTCGTGGCTTTATGTACCAATCATACTAGTGTCAGTCCACTAAAAACACCAGTTATAAATTTGTGTTAACCGATACAGCTTCCAAATACTAGCCAGTAAGGTCCTTCTCTTTCAGTTACTATACTGGCTGCTTCACAGGACAATGACCCAAGGCTACTGACTAGCGGTAGCAGGTTTCATTATTTTTGCACAACTATACCACAAATCATACACAAGTATTATTGCTGCAACAGAAGGAAAAATACTTGGTGAAATTTCAAGGCTATTTAGCCTCTGTATATACTTTCCCTGTTATGCCCCCGGAATTGGTACAGCAAAACTTCATGCCCCCGGAAGCTGACGCGATACTGAATATACCCGTTAGATCGGGTGGAGGTGAGGATACTTTGGCCTGGGCGTTTGAGAAGACCGGGACATATACTGCGAAATCGGCGTATCGTTCTCTAGTGACTCAGAACGAGCACATTGCTCTAGAGGAAGGGACGTGTACGGAATCTTCATTGACTGAAAAACAGATGTGGTCTCGTTTGTGGAAACTCAAAGTAATACCCAAGGTACAAGTGTTTTGGTGGCGGGTGCTGCGAGGTATTCTTCCTGTTGAATCCTTGCCCAAATATCGTCACGTGTCAACTGATAGTGCATGCAAGATTTGCATGAATGCTGAAGAAGACTTAATGCATGCTTTAATGCATTGTTCTCATGCCAGGAGTTTTTGGAGTGAGGCACCGGTTTGGCTCAAAATTAAGCAGCCCGAACTCCATCCACTTACTTGGAAGAACGATATCTTATGTGATCCTCGCTTTTCTGATTCTGATAGGGCAAAGTTGGTCTCTATCATGTGGGCAATCTGGACACCGCAACAACATTACACATGATAAAGCGGCAACGAGCCTGACTCAGTCGATGATCATGACTCGAGATGCACTGGCATTGTTGGATATTCCCCGTGAGCATGCTCGGATTCTACCTGGTCACGGATGGCGTCCGCCGGATGAGACCTATGTAAAGATCAACACCGATGGAAGCATAGCTATGGATGCTCGTCGGGGTGGTGGTGGAGGAGTTGCAAGGACTCGATCCGATTTCCTGGCTGCTTGGTGTAAGCCATATAGTGGTGTCACTGACCCACTAATTGCTGAAGCTCTCGCTGTAAGAGATGGTGTCATATTTGCAAAGTTGTGAGGCTTTTTCAAGGTCATCATGGAGACGGACTGTCAAGACTTTGTCACTCTCTGGAATTTGCGCCAAGGCTCACGATCTGTGCTGGCGCCAATCATAGCTGAAATAGGGGAGCTCGCTAGTTCTTTTACTTCCTTTGTTATTCAACATATTCCTAGGACAGCAAACTTTTCTGCCCATCTATGTGCGAAGCATGCGAGCACGTTGGATGTGACAGACTGCTGGTTGGCCTCCCGGCCCAGTTTTCTTGTAACTAGCCTTATGGCAGATTTTGCCGGGGCCTTCGTTGAATAAAACTCCCTATTCCCCTCAAAAAAAAAAATATACTTTCCCTGTTGTCACTAGTGGTGCTTAAACTTGCCATCAATATTCACTTCAGTGCCTGAACTTGAAAAATACGTTAAAATGGTTCTAGAACTGGGCATGAGCGTGCAAATACGGTGCTAATGCAATTTGCAGACATATAATATGCTGACGTGGCATGTATTTTGATTAGCATGCACACATGGCATAGACTCCCTTTCAACGGATGGCTTGCTAGATATACATATGTCTCTCTGACTAGTAGGCCTCACATGTCAGCAAAATCAACGTAGAGAAATGCAACGGCTGGGACTCGAACTTGCGATGTGGTGCTAGCAAAGGCATGCCCCAGCCAGTACGATGCACACTTTTGAATGACTAGCATAGGAACACGTTCGTGGCTTGTAAATGGGGCTTTCGCACATATTATATTTTTTTAGAAACTCATAAAAGTAGGTAAACCAATATCACATTAAATGAATTTTGAGTATTTATGTATTATAATATTATACATAAAAGTAAAATACCTTATTTTTAAAATGTTAATGTAATTTTTAAAAATATTCACTTATTTACATGCGGATTATATTGGAAATATTTAGTGAATACAAAACTGTTAATAATATAGTAAATGTACAAAAAAATATCCCTAGTGGCTTATATTTAAATTGTACAAAATTATGGATACAAATATTTTTATTTTTATTCACTTGTGATAACTTTTCAACCATGTCATATGTTTTTAATTTCTATATGACTTAAATATAGTCACATGTATATATTTATAAAAAAATAACTATTAAATAATAATGAATATTTTTAAAGTACACCAAAACTCTTAAACGACAAATTTATGAAATATAAAAATGCGCATATAATTATTCAAATGTTTGTATACTTAAGATAATAATTATTAACTGTAATTTGGAAAATATTTGTACTATTCTAAATTATACAATCATTTTTATAATCACAACTGTTTTTATTTATATGATTTATTTCAAAAACAAAACGTCAAAACTTCTTAAAATTACTTGAATGTTTTACTACATAAGTTATTTTTTGTATGTATAATATTAATAACACATGGATGTTTAATGTTATTATTATTACTATCATTATAATTTAAGTACATTTTACAAATACTAAAAAATAATAATAAAGCTGACAAGTGCAACATGGGCCGCACAAAGAGCAACCCATTTAACCTACATGAGCATGTTTATTTATAATATAGTTTATCATTATCCTGTGTTGACAACAAAACATGAGTGGTCTATTGGTAGGCTCGTTGTTAGCTAGCTCGACGTTCTAAGTTTGAGTCCTGGTGGGGACTGTTTTTTGTTATTTATATTTTCCCTTTATTCTGACATATGGGACCCGCTGGGCCTGGAGACATACACAATGCTAATCAATATATGGCGCCATGTCAGTGCATTATAGGTCTACGGATTTGATTAGCACCGTATTTGCACGCTCGGGCCAAGTTCTAGAACCAATTCGATGTATTTTTCAAGTTTAGACACTAAAATAAACATTGATGACAAGTTTAAGCACCACCGGTGATATTACCTCTTTTAAGTAGGTGGTCACAGGTATACGGTATGGGCAAAATTCAAAACAACCTGCAGTCCCTAAGAACAAATGCAAAGGTACTATATACAAGTAGAGAAAATAATACTGACACTAGTTACTTGGCAACATCACGTGATCTAGTACTTGGATTTGTAGAATAAAACATACATGAGATTATAAAAGGCTCTACGCCTTAATTTGATATGCAGCAGGCTTCTCTAACCTTAACTTGTACAACTAAATCTGACGGATGGATCAAATCTATACTAGAAAATTTTAATACTGAAGCAAAGTAGCCATGTACTAGTGCTAACCACCTTCCAGGCTTGCTCAATTTCTTGCTGGAAATTAAAGAAGCGAGGCCTCCAAGGCCAGCTAGAAGGAAGCAAAGCATTCGTAGGAGCAGCGCCTCTAGCACGTTGGGAATGGTGCGGCAAATACCCACAAGGCGGCGGCGACGACCCTCGATGTGATACGGGGACGGGGTGGGACACGGCAATTTATAGAAACAGCAATATGACGGGTATATATATAAATAATTAATAGAATATCATGGGAAGCAGCAGGCGGACAGTACACTGTACAAAGCGAAGCAGCAGCAAGCCAGCACCCTAGAGGAGGACAGGCAGGAGGCAACAGCATGGGAGGACCGAAGGAGAGCAGGGATTTGAGAAAGAAGAAGTTACCGTGCTGGCGGCAGGCGGCCACGGTCTACAGGAGGCGGCAAGGTGATTCCTGGCGGCGGCGGCGGCGCCGTCACGCGGTCGCTCGATCCAATCCCATGTCCTGTGCAATCGAGCGAACCGAGAAAGACCGATGGGTTAGGAGGTGGGCTTCTATTGGGCTCGCTGCGCTCCCGTGTCGCCGGCGTCCCGGCGGCGTGTCAGCTCTTTTTTTCCCTTTTCTTTTTTATTAATCATATTAGATCAGATCAGAAAACAGGATATTCGGGTGACACGCGTATCGGCGGCGTTCCGTACGCGGACACGGCACATGTGCACGTATCAATGCTTTGACGGCGGAGATACCTGAGTACTCATGCTTACATAGGGCCGAAACATGGTCTTGATGGGTTTTTCGTGGCTACAGAGATTTACGGCAGGCGGTACTTCTGAGCTAGAGTTAATTATGAGGGTTTCTGTATTTATATATTTTTTTGTCGTCGGTTGCACGTTCAGATGGGCTTCGAGGTGCCCACTACCCACCAGGGCGCGCCAGAGGGGGGTGGCGCGCCTTGGTAGTGGGCACCAGCACCCCCCCCCCCCTTCAGTGGGTCTTTATTTCAGTATTTTTCTTTTATTTCAAAATAACTCTTCAAAAGGTCTCATTCGATTTCGAAATTTTTTATTTCTGCACAAAAAACAATACCACGATAGTTTTGCTGAAAACAATATTAGTCCGAGTTAGTTTCATTCAAATCATATCAAAACTATATAGAATTGTTGTAAACATGGCATGAATACTTCATAAACTATAGATACGTTGAAGACGTATTAGTCGCTTCCGCCATTCTTATGCCTATGTTTGTTTTTATTACGCCGAGACTTTCCATTGGCGTCGCACGTTTCTGAGG